GCTTCGGCTAGAGGTGGAGCGGCGTCCTGCGGGCCTAGCGCTAGGCCAGCGGTACCTGACCCTCGGCTTCGTGCATGGCCTGCACAGCGGGCCCCGGCTGGAGGAGCCCGCGGAGGGGACAGCCGGCGAGGGACGCCCGGAGTCGGGCGCAGCAGGTATGCGCGTGGAGAAGGGCAAAAGGGCCTCTTTTGGGCAGCCGGGAGCTGGGCCCGGCTGGAGCGGCTCTAGGATTTCCTCCTTTGTGCACTTCTCTGGAGTCACAAAACTCCTGCAGATCCAGAGCTGGAGGGATTTCGATTGTTGGCGCTAACCTTCCCATTTCACGCAGAAGAAACTGAGACCGAGAGAACTGCCGTCTCCAAATCCCAGCCGTCGGGATGGCCACATTCTTAGCGTCAGCCTCTGTCCTCCCCTCTCACCCTCTTCCTAGGGTCCTGGGGAAATGATTTGTGGGGAGTGTGAGCAGCGTGAGGCTTCTGAGGACCAGCTGGAGAGTGGGGGCAAAGGATCACGTAAGAATGTCCAAGTTAAGATCCCTTAGTTGTTGAGAACATTTTTAGAAACTTAAGAGATAGTAAACAGATCTCATCCGAGAGTGACTATGAGAGGGAGCGGTCTTAGTGGACTTAGTTTCTAGTTTCTCTGGAGTCAGCTTTAGAACTGAGGCGAGCTGTACGTGTGCTGACTAATATTCTAAGCTGCAGAACAGAATATCAAAATCTCCACAGAAAAAAAAAATGTTTTCAGGGGTAACGGTTGTTAGTAACCCAAATGGTTTTATAAGAAAAACTTGAGGGACCAGAAGTTGGCTTAATGGCTATGTCGCTGGACTCCCATGTAGCCGACTGCAGTTGAGTGGACCCAGTGACTTAAAACTCACGCTGGGCACGTGTGTGTGCCTGCCCAAGATCTGGAGAGGAGAATAGAGGAGAAGGGATTGCCTTGTGGCCATACCCCCCTCCCCCCCACCCCGGGTGGGGTGGGGGTGATTTCTTGCTTTCTGTCTGTCTCTTTCTGGTGAGCACATGTGCCCTATAGCAAAAACCTCTCCAACAAAAAAACAACAAAAAAAAAAACCTTGAGCGTTCACAATGAAAATGACTTAAAATTTTGGCTGTCATTAATTGATGTTACGCCACATTAATTCTACTAGGCTGTTTCTTCATCTCTCAATTGAGGGTCATGTACCAGAAACTGTCTAAGAGCACTCTCCCTGCCCCACCTCAGGGTTCTGGTTCAGTGACGCTTTGACTAGTATTCCTTTTAATATCCCCAGGATATCACTTCCTCTCTAATTTGCGGTTTTCTTTCTGTACTATTTGTGTGTTGCAGTATATTGCACATTTCAAGTAGTAGTGAATGGACATTTGTCACGGAAGGGCTTATGGTAATAGCGCAAGCTGAATGGTTGTGGCCCTGTGTAACCTGGGGACTCCGACCAGAAAAGTTGAGCAGCGCTTTATGAAATTGCTGGCCAGGTTCAGCTTCCAGGAGAGCTGAGTGCCACAATATCTGGGTGTATATATATCTGTCTTCTACTTGGCTGACACAAATAATTATTTGTGCATTTCAGATCATACTGTTCCCAAATTCGACATCGACATGCTGGTTTCACTTCTGAGGCAAGAAAATGCAAGAGACATTTGTGTGATCAAGGTTCCTCCAGAAATGAAATACACAGATTACTTTGTGATTGCTAGCGGGACTTCCACCCGACACTTACATGCCATGGCCTACTACATTGTGAAAATGGTAGGATGCTTGCTTTCCTTTTTTTCGAACATTAACCAAGCGTGGTAGTGTCAGTGCATCAGGTTGATAAACAGCCCTTAAAGAGAGAGTAAACCCTGATACTAAAGTTACCTGTGGAGTCCAGATTTTCAGAATTTGTATGAATGTTTGGTAGTCTTTTATACTGAATGGTATGGGACCAAATATCCAGTTCTACTGAATCAGGATATTTCTAATTCTTGTGTCTTGTGATCACCAGGAAAAAATAGAAAAACAACTCAAGGCAAGACAGTACAAGGCCAAGGGATTTCTAGAGCAGCACTGTCCAGTATGGTAGCCAGTAGCCACATGCAGCTATTTAACAATCAATTAAAATAAAAAATGTAGTTCTTCAGTTGTACTAGCCACATTTCAGGTGCTCGGTGGCCATGTGGCTGATGATTACCATATTGGACAGCCATAAAAACATTTCTGTAATTGCAAACAGTCTATTGGACAGTGTTGGACAGTTTAATCCAAATGTTTGAGCGTGTCCATGTTCATGGTACATAGTACATATTCCCATGGACTGTGCTGGGTATTGGGAAGGTAAAGATGAAAAAGATATAGTCCTTCTGTAATGATGTACAGTGAATGAATGCAAATAAATTGGAAAAAAAATAAATAAAAAAATTAAAAATCTGTAATGATGTACAGTGAATGAATGCAAATAAATTGGAAAAAAAAAAAAAGATATAGTCCTTGTCCTAGGAATTTGAGGAGACAGATGGAGGTTCATTTTCCAGTTGGACTGAATCTGAATCAGAATGAGAAAGAAACTGAATTTGGGAGCTTCCCGTCATTTCTGATACCATTCTTCAGGATAACATCTCTCTCATCCTGTTAGAAATTACTCATAGAGGTAGTTAACACTACTAGAGTAGCTGGGATTGCCTGGAGAAGTATCATAAAATAAGAAGGGGGCTGAAAACAGAGCCTTGGTACATTACAGAGCAGAGGAAGATTCCAAAGAGGGGAGAAGTTAAAGAAATAGAAGAGAACCAGGAGCACATGCCGGAGAGTCCTAAGACAGGTCCTAGGTCGTTAATAGAGATGTAATCATGGGATGGAGTAACATGAAGACTTGGGAGGGACCAGCAGTTAGCTAATGGCTATATTGCTGGACTCCCATGCAAAAATTTTAGAGAAGATCTAGATAGGTAGGATAGTTGTTAAGGTGGCTGGATCTTACATGGCTGACTGTGCAGTTCAGTCCTTGACCTGGTGGATTGAAAAACATGCCTGTGTGTGCGTGCTTGCCAAAGTCCCAAGAGGAGAATGGAGGGGAAGGGATTGCAGCATTGTCATCCCCACTGGCAGGTGATTTCTTACTTTCTCTTTTTCTCTCTCTCCCAGGCAGGCATATACACACTATAGCAAAAACTTATTTTATTGATTGATTGATTGATTGATTGATTGAGAGGTTTTCGCTAGAGGGTGCGTGCGCTTGCCAGAAAGACAGAGAGAGGCAGAGAGATAGAAAGTGAGAAATCACCCCCCAGGGGGGATGGCCACACCGCAATCCCTTCTCCTCCATTTTCCTCTTGGGATCTTGGGCACGCACCCACACGCGCCCGGTGAGAGTTTAAGCCGCCGGGTCCAGGACTTGAACCGCGGTCGACTACGTGGGAGTCCAGCGACATAGCCATTATGCTAACTGCTGGTCCCACTATAGCAAAAACTTAAAAATAAAAAAAATTTAGCTTAGAAGAGAGAATTGTGCAGTTCAGTAGCTTTAAGCCACTGGGTCCGGGACGTACATTTACATTGATGTACTTATCACCCTCTTCCGAACTTCACTCATCTTGCAAAACTGATTTAACAGTCACTCCCCATTCCGCTTTTCCCTAGGTGACTACATTCTACTTTCTGTCTCTATGAATCAGACTACTCCTAAGTACTTCATAGGAGTAGAATCAGGCAGTCTTTGTCTTTTTTATGATTGGCTAATTTCATTTAGTATGTCTTCCAGGGTTCATCCATGCTACAAGGTTGAATAATATTCTATCATAGGTATGTACCATGTTTCCAGGTTTTGGCTGTTGTAATATTGCTATAAACATAGATGCAGACATATCTGTTCATGTCCTTGCTTTTTTATTTTTAATTTAAGATTTTTTCTTTTAATATGCCATGAGATATCTTGTTTGCATATTTTCTAGACTACTTTTCCAGTCATATCTCCTAACTTGCCAGTTTTTCCGATGCATTAACAGATTATAGTGCTTTCCACTTTCTTTTTGAAACAATATAATGCTAATAAATTTAATGGTGATAAATTCTTATCTAATAAAGGGAAACATTTGAAGATATCAGAAACCCAGTTTTAGGGGACCAGCAAGTGGTGTGGTGGTTAAGCCACATGGCCAGCCACGGTTCAAGTCCTGGACCTGGTAGCTTGCTTTTTCATATTCTTTCTCTCTCTGTGTCTCTCTCTGGTCAAATTAAAATAAATGAATGAATAAATAAAAATAAACAATTATTTTTTTAAAAAAAAGAAACTCAGTTTTAGAATATCTGCATTAATCTTGAACAGAATCAGTATTTTGTGGGTTTTTTCAAAAGGCAGAAGTTTGACTCACAAGTCGTTGTGAAAAAAAAATTTCTGTTGAGGACGGAGGAAGAGAGAGGGAGTGAATGCTGCATTTCTCCATTGGTCCCCAAAATGCTAATGTCACAAAGGGATATATCAAAAGCAAATATGCAGTGGTTTGTAAAACTTTCACTGCAATATGTAACAACAATGAAGTAACTGGTAATTAGACACTTACCAATTCCCTTCTCCCCCCAAAATGTAAACAAGAAAGTAACTGTCTCTAATAAGACAGCATCTCGAATTATGTTAGAAGGGTCTCACATCCCATGATCAAGAAATTTTAAAATATCAGAAATTGGGGCCACCAAGTGGCATGATGGTTAAGGCTCTGGACTTCTACATGGCTGACCACGGTTCAAGTCTAAGACCTGGCGGCTTGCTTTCTCACTTTCTCTGGTGAACACATGGTGCCCTATAGCAAATTAAAAAAAAAAAGAAACAGAAATTTTCATTTTAAGAAAAGAGTTCCCTTTTTTTCTACCCTACCCCAAGTATTTAACACAAAAGAATGGGCTTCTTTACAGATTAGTTTTATACTTACATGCAGCAGTGATAGCCATCAATAATTTGGCATCTCTGTTTATAATTGCTCCAAATATGTTCTCAATCTCACAGAGCCATTATTCATTGTTGCCATTAAACAGAGAGTTTAAATTCTTGGTAGCAAAGATTTTTTTCCTGAAGCCAGTGTTAAGTCAAAGCTAAATCAGGGCATTACACTGAATTTTTGGATCTAGTATGCCAAAAAGAGTGAAACTTAAGAAAGTTACCTCTTGTTTTATAGAAGAAATAAAGACCTGGAAAAGCTGAGTTTGGATTTTATAACATTTTACACACTGGATTTGTAACATCTGCCAATTGAGGCTGACATGTGCTGTATTTATCCCTGCCCTGTATCCTGAGCCCCTCCCTCCCCACCCCTTATACCAAGTATGGTGGATAAGAGTCCTCGTCATCTCAGACAATCCAGTAGACATAGTGTAATGAACTAGGTACAAAAAAGTTCCTTTCAATCTTCGTCAGAGTTCTACTGTAGAAGAAAATTGTCAGGCAAATTGTCATTCTTTTTACAAGCAAAATATACTCCTGCCACAAGTGCTTTCGGGAATCCTATTGCCTTTGACCTTTCTATAGCTGCTTCTCCCTAAGTGGTACCTGAATGTAGTTCATGTGCCCACTTCTAGCTTCTTTAGTCCCACTGCCACCTCTGCTTCCGTCTCCTCCTCCTCCTCCTCGACCACTCTTCTTGAATTGGTTCATTTGACATCTGAATAAAATGCTCCTGGGGTTGGTCGATACGCTGCAGTAACTGAGGATTTTGGTGACCTCTCTATTGTAGCAGTGCTGAAAACAGGGAAGAAATTTGTTGGGCAATTTGTTTCATCTGTTCAGAGTTCGTTAAAATTCAAGGCGGTGTCCTTCTGAACTCGTTGTTGTCCTCGCTGTGTGGTTGTTGCAGCCACTGCTGAAGACCGAGGAACCCCAGTATTAGCAGCTTGAAGGGAGTCAGCCCCAGCTCGGCTTCTCTGTCTCCTGGAAGTCCCATGAGGATACTCCACTGTTCTGTCAGGGCTGCTGAAACGAGCACTCGGGGCTGCAATTACATGTTCTCGTTCATAGCCCGTTGACATGATCTCAGTTTCCAAATTCTCCCAAGCCTGACCTGTCACAGACACACTTGTATCTGCAGAAAAAGGCTTGACCAGGGAGACTCTCTCGATACATCGCCAGTTGATGCTGGACTCGTAGCCATGGTGTGTCTGCTGGTTTTCCTGCAGACTTTTCTAGTTGAATCGCACTAGCAGGTATAGGTTGCAAAGATGCTGTCATTGACACAGGAATGATGGATGCAGGTGTGGAAGTAGGTGCTGCAGCAGCGGGGGGGGGCGGGGCGAGCCACAGCC